CTATATTGAGTCTCAATAGTCATTAGAGATTGTTTCAACATGCCGGAAGGGAACAAGATATCAATAAATTCTGTGTGAACCTAATATTTTGTGATGCTGCATCGCATGCCATCTTTTCCCATCCACCAAGTTACATTAAATGTTTCTGATTCTATTCATGGCCATAGGAAGCATACAGACGATTGTGTCTCGACACATGGTGTGTGGTTCAATCATACAACACTGACAATGAATCTACAAAAAGCCAAGCATATGTCAACATCTTAGGGACCAAAATCATATCAATTAAATATTCTGCGTCCGACTTGTGGCCCAAATGGCAGAAAGTGGGGTTTTTCTGAGGGAAGCCTATTAGAATTGTAGTAACCTAAGCTAGAACAATGATGAGCCATGCATGCACTTCTATGGCCGAGATAGTGAATGTATGCCCATTGCGCCGTGTGCTAGTCTCTCATGCATCTCACTTTACAACCACATCCGTATTCAGTTACTGGCATTGTCCATTGAGATATTTTCCAGAACTGTCAGTGATGGTCAAGTCATCAGATAAATGCCCATCTCATGGGGTATCCCTGCTATGTTATTGGAACCTTCCGGCTTACAAGTGAAGGAGGAAAGATTCCAAAATGGCAGCCCAGGTTCCAGGAGAGGACAATAGTTTGGCACCTCACCTGTCCATTCAGAAAATATTGGTTTGTCCGCAACCTTACAAATCGGATACCTTTCCCCTCATACCATCTTGTCTACTGATGATTGGTTTAGACAGTTTACTCTTCAGAAGATCAACCACTTCTAGAGTGGACCAAAATGTGCATATTCAACGCTTCGAGACCTTATTTTATGAGGACACTCCACCTCCTTAGCAGACGAGTGGCTACTCCAGAGGAAAAGGCCAATCAACCAACAGACCTTGATCTCATCTTCAGAAGCTACGACCATGGAGAAAATTAATGCAGGATGACAAGAGCAAAGAAAAAAAGGGATGATCTTCATTTTGAAGCTCCGTCTCCAGCACAGCCCAGGTTTCACACAGGGAGATTCAGGATCGTCTGCCACACTTCAGACTAAAAATTTACCCTCTTCTTGGACAGGGAGCCTCCCATCCTCAGCACTCCCACCACAGAAGTTCCCATCGAGGCAATCACTGTCACTGCCCCACGTCCGAATCCCAGTAGGACAGCACACAACAAGAAGACTGAGACTCTGAACATGGAAACAAAGTTGAAGACATATGCGCGGACTTCATCCCTGTTGAGTTATGCTTTAGCTTTGACCTTAGGAGTTACTCCAATTTCTAGGCACATGCATCAGCAAATCTAAAATGAAATGCGTTGATGCGACGCTTGCACCACCCATCAGGAATCGTTTCATCCTTGCATTCTTCAAATCCCACTGTCTCTCAAGGCTAAAATTTCCAAAGACCTTGATCTCCCGTCTCTGAAGAAATCTCTGATGGGACTACATGCAGATCATTTCTGGTCAGCAATGGACACAGAAATTGCCAGCCTTTAGAAGCAAAGGGAATTTGGCACACGAAGACTTTCTTGCTATGCTTCCACACCTAAAAGCCGGTATCCTGGATTACAATGGTGCAACGAATTAAGTGGTTACCAGACGGACAATAAATTAAGTTCAAATCTAGATCGTGCTGCAGAGGAGACCTACAGTCCTATGAAGGCGTAGCGTACTCTCCACTTGTTGGTTGGGCCACTGTTAGAGCCTGTCTTCTGCTTGCAGCTGAACATGTATGGGAATCGAGTCAAGTTGATTTTATTCTTGCTTTCTGTCATAGCCCTCAGCCTGTCGACCAGCAACTGTACATGGAATTGCGTCAGTACTATCGACCCAAAGGTATGAAGGACAGGACTGTGTTTGAAACTTGACAAGTAAATCTATGGGCAGACCGAATCACCCAAATTATTCTATAAGCATCTATGGCGAGCGGGAGGGATGACTAACTCGAGACTATGAGCAGGATTGTAGACGTCGCAGCACATTCCCTGCTGTGGCATGATTCTATTATTGTCACTAATGGTGAGCGATCTAAGCCCCAGGGATAAACTATGCTATGAGATCTGGCTCAGCCCTGACAATGATTTGATTGAGTACTATGTTGGGCAGCTCCCAAAACTTGGATATGACCTCACCATGAAGAAAAAGGGTGACATCTTTGGATTCTTCGGCATTAATTTTGAAAGTCAGGGAGACAATGTTGAGTTTACTCAAAAGGGGCTCATTAACAAGGTTATTGAATACTCTGGCATGTCTGAAGCCATCTCTAAGCTTTCTCCTGCAGCCACCGATCATCTCGGAGATGACAAACTGGGGGCCGCATTGGAAGAAGAGTGGAGCTATCCAGTTGCAGTTGGGATGCTTCCTTGTAAAAGTTGCGTCGAACCACCTCCGAATCCGACACCACAATTGTCGAGTGCACCAGTGGCCGATTCAGTCACAACTCCAAACCAGGCATCCCATGCTCAAGAATCAAACGTATCATTCGGTGTCTGATTGGCACAAGTGACAAAAGCATTTGTTTTAGCCCTAAAATTGATCAGGTACTTGACTGTTTGGGAAATCCAGAATCAGTGAGTAGGCTGACGGGTTGATCGCTCGCGATTGTATGGAGACTTATGAGAGATGAGTGCAGGATCCTGGTCCGTCGCAAAGGTCCTATCCAGTCACTGGATTTGTCCTGATTCTGTTTGGGTGCCCTATTTTCTGGTCGAGCAAGCTACATACTGATATTATTTTGAGCTCCACTGCTGCAGAGTATGTTGCCTTCAGCTTGTAAATGAGGGAGCTGCTTCATATGCTAGCTTTGCTCAAGGAAATGGGTAGCAAACTGAATATGCCGTGAATTACTGACAGTCTCGTAAGCTCTACAGTGTTCGAGTTCAGAGAGACAAGCACTACCAAAGGTTGCGTTGAGTGACCCTTTGTAGGACATTGTTCCGTGCCAATACAATGTCTAGCGCGCAACAAGTAAATTGCTTGGCATCGGATGACGTACCCCCCTACTCCATAGCTCTTCAGTCAAATCGGTGAGGTACGAAGGGCATCGTGGGCGGCACCTGAAGTATATTACCGACCTGCCCTGGGAACACGGGGCAGACATTTTTCAACTAAGGGCTCTTCCGGCCGTCACGCAGCTTTATTTGCGTCCATTTTACGGTCAGCTCCGCATCGGGGATGGTATCATACCTTCAGGCATCTCTAGCTGGGGGACTACCCATACATCTCTATCGGTTGCTGCTCCACGCACTTTCCATTTTCAGCCGTGTAAAAGGGAGTGCGACCAGGCCGGGGATAACAAGACACACCCTAGCCAGCTTACAATTCAGCTTTACAGCTTTACAATTTTAGCAGGCTTATTCTAGATTAATAATCAATAACTGCTCACTTATTTGGAAATACAAACTTTACATCTCTTAGATCGTTAGATTAGACAATCCACAATGGTATTGTCGCAAACATTCAATGATGTACATGTCCCAATCTCTGTGGGGAGGGTTCCGGCTAGGCTGTTGGCACCAAACAAAGATAAGTGCGTCATCAACTGGGAGATGTAGGATGTACCGATGTGTGAGCTGTAGGCTGTGGCTTGTGATGGGTGGGACACAATGTCCATCAGTTACCTGCAAATTTCCAATCTCGGATGGCAACTGTCCTGATAGTTGAGAAGATTCCAGATACAAGTTCGACAGAGCAGACATCATGCCAACCTCAGAAGGAAGACTTCCTGTCAATTGATTGCGAGATAAATCTAGGTACATCATTGTTGTGATCCAAAAAAACTCTGGTGGAAGCGTTCCACTATTGTCAAGCAGATTTTCATCGATTTGTGAGTTTGCTATCATATCAAAATACCACAGTAACAGCTTCATGCACCTACGTGAGCCCTTCTTCGATCAATGCAAACTGGGTATACGTAGTGCCATCGAAATGGCACGCCTCTTTGTTGTTGTACCACTGACATTCATGGACGTCGTACTCCAGCCACAGGCTATTCAGGCTCCAGTTCTCACCATTTGTTGCATAATAGAAGGTGGCCAATGCAAACCTTTGCATAACTCTCGCAATATCATACAATTCAAGGTTTCTATCTTGCAACAGCCATTCCCGTGCTCGTGACTGTGCTGACGCGGAATCTTGAAGGGCCCGGAGCGTTGACGCTGGGACTCCATCGAACATGAACCATTCTTCTAGGAAGTTGAGAAAATCAAAACCGCCACCAGGCGCGAGACTGCTTCCTGGAGTCCACTGGTCTGCCCTAGTTGGTGCCATAGTCGCTGAAATAGTCGCTGAAGAGGGACCACTTGTTGGAGCAAGAGTTACCGTGGGCGACTGAATTGCGGAAGCTGTTGGATTGGTCGTCGACTGAGGAGCTGCAGTTGTCGTGCCTGCGATGGGAGTGCCAGATCCAGTCTGATTGATTGGGGTGAATGCACTTGACTCGCTTTCTTGCACGGCTTGGTCGTCGCCGCCCGTGTCACGCGACAAAGTAAAGCCGAGCACGATCCCCACAATAAGCAGCAGCATGACACACGCCAAACCAAAGAACCCCAATCTCATCCGACGACTTTTCCAAGCATCTCGGCACCGCATTTCTCGTTCTTGTAAAGGTTGCGCCTCGACAATAATGTCACCAGCAAACTGTGTGCTTCCTTCGACCAATTCGGCCTCGACCAAAATGTTGCGGTCCGCAGAAGTACGTGGACTGGGTGGATCTTCCGAGCTACTACTACTAGATTCTTCACTGTCACCATGAGGTTGGTTGATCCCTTGAATGGCTACCGCACCGGGTGTTGGCTGCCGGCGAACATTTCCCCCTCGCCTTAGTGCCGCAACCGGGACATGGTTCGACTCGTGCGTTCTCTCTTGGCGTGGTCGTGGTTGTTCCTGTCTACCAGTCGTAGGACTTCTCCGTATCGGTTCCGAGCGACGTTCCTGTAGTTGTGGGGGTGGGGGTCTTTCCGGTGGAGCAGATTGAGACGTCGCCAGAACCGTTCGTGGCAACTCGTTGGGTTCCGTTGCTTGTCTCAGTGGTATCAGATTTGTTTGATCAGCTCTCGCACGACTTTGCTCGAACCACTGCTTCGACGATGTTCCGGTTCCTCGTCGTCTTTGGATGTGGCTGGTAGCTTTCTTATGTTTCGGTTTGGTTTGGTGGATTGGACGGGCATGGTTCTCTTGGGCGAGTGGTGTCGTGCATCTTTTTGTCGAGAACTAGTTGTGTTGTGTGGATTGTCGGCGGCTGCCTTTGCAACATGGGAGCGTGGCTCTGACGTTGGGGAATTGGAGCGACTCCTTGTCCTGGAGCTGCGCATGGAAGGATTTTGATTGGGCCTGTGGTGCTGCTGTGGATGGGCAGCCACTGATGACGGTTGTTGTTGTTCTTGTTGTGATGAATTGCCACCATCTTTTCTTTGGGGAGGCAATGGGGGTAATTTTCTGGAGGATTGTTTGGGTGATTTGGGCGCTTTATTAAGAGGACCTGTTGTGTCTAAGGGTTGATTTCTAGCCTCTCGCTTGTAATTGTCCAGTTGCTGACTGGCTTGCCGAATAGCGGCATTGGGTGGGGTAATAATTGGAGCATGCGAGTTGGAAGAAGGTGGCTTTTTCGAACTCTGTTTGGGCGAAACTATTGGATTTGTTGTTTTGGAGGATTGTTTGGGTGATTTGGGCAAGGCATTCTTGTTTGGAATTGATTTTGGAGAATTGGAACGACTCCTCGTCTTCGAGGAGGTAAGGACGGAAGGATCTCGCTTGAACGCGTTAAGCTCCTGACTTGCTTGACGAATGGCAGCATTGGGGCTGGAGATGGAGTTCATCATTTCGGATGTGGCAGATTGTTGTTGCGATGCTGGTTTGGAGTCTGGCTGATGAATGTTGAATTTGTTTCTTTTGTACATGTCCAATTGCTGGCTGGCTTCGCGAATGGCCGCATTTGGTTGTTGCATTCTCCCCGCATCTTCTGGCAAACTTTTCAATTTGCGTGGAGGCGATTTCTTCCGACGTCTGGTCGGCCCCTCCTCGGATCGCACCAAAGCACCAATGGCTCCTAGTTTACGACGATCTTCTTGGTCCTCATTCGCATCGCCGGACGCTATTACTCGCATGGCAGCGGCAATATCGGATCGCATCTTCTCGAGATCCTCTTTCGACGACGTTTCCATAATCACAGCTGGCATTTTGTGCAGAATGAGTTTGATGAGATGTCGATCGGGAGACACTGATTTGATAAAATGTTTCTTCACCACTGCCCACGGCCAAGATCTCTCTTTGCCAGTTGGTACATTGTTTGCATCCAGCACTGTAAAGATAAGGGCACTCGGCATCACCGTCAAGGATCCCAGTCTCCCCTTGTGCAGGACGTTGGCGTAACATCCGTACGATGGGGTCGCCTCGCCGGACATGGGCCCACACACTGTCACACTTCACAAACGAAACCCCCTATCAAAGTAATGCAGATGCGCTCATTTTCTATTCGATGCAGCAAAGACACAAGTTTCGAGTCGGTCTACAAGCCCTCTTTCCTCTGCTCGTTGTGTTGTGTTGTGTGTCTTGTCGGTTTCCAGCATCGTTAAGCTGCCAAAGCTAGCTAAAGATCCAAAGGGTCTTGGCACACGTTTCTACGCACATCATCGAAAACGCAGAACTACTGTATTTGTCTAGTAATCAATCTGCAAATAACTAGACTACATGTACTGTAGCTATCCATCACTGCCGACACTTATACTTTTGCTTCAAAATCAAATCAATAGCCAGGAGCCGGCTGTGCCAATCCAATTTTCACTCCTTGATCGTCGGTGACTTCACACATGGTTCCTTCGGGGGCATCGAATACTTCACCGGCAGTACCACCGGATTCCTTGACCAGATCCACCGTTTTGACCACATCATCGACGCGAAACCAAAAGGATGGAATATCACCCTCTCGACCAATGCCCAATCCGCCATCGGGTCCTTTCAAATTCTGGATTCCCAAGCCTCCTTCTTTGCCTTTGACTCCAAATTCCCATCCAAGGACGGCTCCATAAAACGCTCGAGCCTTTTCTTCCTCCGCAACAGGAAGAGAGAAAAAGAACAAATCGCCGTGACGACACCCCTTCTTCACGTTGGCCGCATGTTTCTTCATTTCTTCCGTGGCAGGTTCTTGCAGTGCAAAATGAGTTCCTTGGTTGTCCTGACAAGATGCCGCGGGTCCGATCCCTTCAAAGACCGAACGCGATAATACCTTGCCGCCATTTTGTTCCACAACTGCAATGGCGGCATCCAGATTATCCGTGCAGAAATACACTTCGGGCTTGACCGATTTCGGACCGATTCCACAGGGTGTCGTCGTGTTGTTCACATGACCACCCATGCTTCCTCCTCCAATCTCCCATCCAAGCACTTTTTTGTAAAAGACTTTACTTTTGTCCAGGTCTGGACCGCAGAGGTTAAAGTAAAAGAGTTCCTTGGCTGTCATGGTCGTCTGGCTGGAGGATCGATATACTGTACCGCTCTCTTTCTCTTGGAAATGGAAATAATGGAAAGATATAATGGATAAAGATACCGTTGCTGCAATGATGGTCAAACCCAAAATTGCTGCCGACAGATCTTCATTAGGGCCAGTGATAGAGTTTGCAGGATCGCAACCGGTGCGACGTTCTGTGTTCTTTTTTGATGTCTTCTTTCCATCGTCTGCTTCCCGAAATTCCGATGACGGCTGTGAGACGAGCTGTGGGAAAAGTCTGTAGCTATTTTCTGTATTGGTGGTTTTGATACCCTACCTCTCTTTGTTCTTTGATAGATCGGTTGGCAAGCAATCGAGAGGAAGATAGAAACCATTTGAAAGAGTGAGTGTAAGGAGGAAGGGCGGGAAAGGAGCTCATCGTTTATTTCATCCGGTCGAGTCCAAGTGTCAAGACTGAGCGTTGAGTTGGTCTAGTTGTTCCTTGACATCAACGCCAACGTCATCGGCAGTACGGTACCAGAACATAATATCATGGCGAAACCAAACGATTTGGTGGGGCTCCGGCGCAATGACAGCCATCTGACCTATCTTCAGCTGCTGAGACCAGATTGCGACCAGAGTGACTCGAGTTTGAAAGAGCTTGTCCACGTTCTGCTGGAGTCGAATAATAATACCAATACCCACGTCACGAGAGTGAGGGTCATGGTACAGCATCGTTTCTTTTGGAACCGAACCAACAATAATGATGACAATGACAGTCTGCGATTGCGACGACAAGTCTTTGCTGCCGTTGGGTCTCTCCCGAAACTCCAACAGCTCAAGATTGATTCCTATATGGGCTTGGTACGGTTGCCCGTGGGAGTTCTTTCGGACACCATCCAACGAGCTAGGCAGTTGCGAGAGCTGGAACTGTGGGATCTCAAGCTCATGGTAGCCGATGATAGCAACGATTTGGAAGCGCTTCAGAACGCTCTCCAAGATCACCCCTGCTTGGAACGATTTACACTCTACAACTGCCAATCATTGACGGACAGGAATGGCGCCACTAGAGCCTGCTCGTTGGATCCAGTGGTGCATGCACTGGCTTCCATGCCCAAAATCGAGCAAGTGTACATCACTGCTGCAGCCGCCAACTCGTCAGCATCTTCTTCCATTGCCTTTTCCTGTTCGGCATTGGAACACTTGTGTCGGTCCAAAACGTTAAAGGAACTGGGTCTGTGGAAGTTCAACTTTCATTCGGCTGTACAACATCGTCAAACGGCTACAATAATGCCCCCACACAACAACAACAACGAACCATTAACATTCATGGCACCCGCCCTGGCCCAAAGCAACACCATGACCATGTTTGAGTTTGGAAAGTGCCATTTGAGTGCACAAGGAGACTTGGCCATGGCAGCCATGTTGCGCACCAACACATCCTTACTGCAACTCGACCTCCATTTGGATGCTGTTGTTACGACCGATGATGATGATGATGAAGACTATTTTGTGGCCACTGCCGAGGCATTGGAAAAACACAATCGAACGCTGAAAAGTCTCAAACTCTGGGGATTGCTCAGTCGAAGGAATCAAGAAGCATTGGTGGCCATGATCCAGCACAATTATTGTTTGCAGACGTGCCGGTTGCTAGATGCCGATTGCGATGTCAGTCAACAAATGGAGTTTTACATTGGATTGAATCGTCGGGGACGAAAGCAATTGTTCAAAACCACGTGTGGGTCTCAGTGGATCAACGCGTTGGCGGATTGTGGTCGCAATAACTTTCCCAAGCAACAGGACGGCCTGAGCGCAATCTACTATTACCTCTCGATGAAACCTGGACTACTCTGCTGTCCCAAGTAGATGGCACTCTCTAATGGATTGACGTAGCGACGGCACCGCCAAACGAGAAGGATACCAGTCGTAACTGGTTCCGCTCCCCAAGAGCGCTATTGTATACTACATGTGTAACTATATCTAGCTAGTTTTTTCTGTAGAGCTGTCTCCGCCTCATCTAAGAGTACCACGTCCAATCAGCAAGGAAAGCTTACTCATCAACTTGGAAATTGCAACAGAAAACTCTTGTCCACTCCCTCATACCGCCTCAAATTGGTGATTGGATCAAATGCCATAGTGCATGTCAGCTTTCGGCAGTGATTCCAGTACCGTACATGTACATGTCAGGCAACCTCAATGCTCAAACGACTCGACTCCATGGCTCACAACAAGGGCTCATTTTTCTGCCGGGATACCCTCGGCTGGATGTCCAGTCGTACTACAGTACAAGTACCATTCGTTTTTTCGTTGCTATTCAGGACCGTGCCCCAACCACAATGAGGTTGGATTCGCCTTGGCTGGCTCAGGACCAAATCTGGGTGGTCGATTGACTTGTTGCATGCCCCAAAAGCGAGAGGCTGGCCAGTATCTCAAGAAGAGCGAATGCGTATCATGCCCAGGCTACCAGTATCCAGGACCGGTACCGACCACCATGGTGATAAGATCGAAATGAGATCCAATGCCCGGTGAGCTATTCACATGGTCATCAGCATTGTTTTGCGAACTGTGTGTGAAAATATCCCAAGCAGTCAAGAAACCAACCTAGCTAGCTAGTAGGTAGCTAGCGGCCGGTAGCTAATAGTGCTGCGGTACCATACCGTAATGGCCATACCTACAGTACATGTACCTGTACCGGTACCAGCAGGCGCTCAAAAGAATTTTCACTTCCCGTGTCCGTCATAGCAAGATTTTTGGGAAAGTCATCTGCTGAGACGGATTGGACTTATGGTCCGAGAATTGGGGGGTTTGAAAAAGGCGCAAGGTTTCGTCTCAAAATCATTGTCAAATCGCCTTGTAACTCTTCCTTCTGTGGGACTCAAGGATCTGCTTCGACGAAGATCTGCGAAGCACGTTCTGTCATCAAAAGCCTGTTCCTGAGTCGAGTCAGCGGTGGTGGAAGGAAAGGGGATGCCACAGCAACGTACCGGTACTAGTAACAGGTATTACATCCGCCGAAGTCCACGATTGTTCCAAAGGAGAAAGGCAACAGAATGCCCAAAATGCTGAGTGGATCTGTAGTGCTAGCCAAAGAAGTGTAAAAAGAGTGGTCGTGAGTTGACTGGCTGGATGTTGACAACAGCTTTGACAACCCAGTCGAGCTAGATGCCCTCGACTGCAAAAGAGGCAACCCAAAGAGGTGCGTTGGAATGTAACCGGCTTCGCGTAAGCAACTTTAATAATGTGACTAGCTCTGTACATGTACATGTTGTATCATTGGTTCGCTATCATACCGAGATGTCATGTAATAAGTCGCCTTGCTCCGCTTTGATAGACAGCGGAGCCCAAGATAAGATATCTTTCGCACGACCATTGATTAGTTTCAAGTCGATGCAAATACAGGGTTCATTCCACCTGATGACCTTGAACTCCCTCTAACACACAATAACAACATGTTATTCCTCCTTGAGGTGAGTTGGCGCTCCCAAAGATCCTGATTGCGTACAACAGTACTAGTACAACATGTACTGGGTCACACCGTAGACCCAAGTGCGTCACGCTCTCAGGAACTGAATTCTTGTCTCCACATTCTGACCGTTACAAGACGTACCGTTAGTACCGAAGGAAGCACGGTTCAGCATGGCCTCGTGGAAGACACGCGAGAGATGTGAGAGCATTTTGAGCGATCAAGAAGGGCTCCCATGCAAGCCTCGACTCGATGGACTTCTTATTGGACTGACTCGACTCTCAAGCAAGGTTGGTTGCTACATACCCGTCCATAAATTGATATCTTTTGTTGTTGTTGTTGTTGTTGTGATATCGTGTCACATCACACAGAAGATATAGAAAGGCAAACCCCTCAAGCCCAGTTGTTGTAGAGAAGAGAGCTGTAGAGAGTTGTTTGTAGAACCGAGAAAGAGAACTTAGCTTAGATTCTTTGTTGTTGTTGATTTTCTGTTTTGTTCTGTGATCGATCAATTGGGTCACTCATTCATCGACGATGACGGACATGAAGAAGAAGAAGGAAGAGATGGGCCGCAAGGTCCCACAAGAAGATGATGACGAGAACAAGACGACCATGGCATCTGGTTGGACGCAAGTCAAGGCGCTGATGGAGAAGAACGCGCTGACCAAGGTCCGCACGCCCGGAGCCACCATGGCCGAAATGTTCTCTCCCATGTTGCTCGTGTTGGTCTTGTTTGTCAGTTACAACCTTTCCGAAGTCATCTTTTACCCTGCCAAGTACTACCATGCCCTCAATGTGGATTTCCCCCTCTTTTGGGACAGCGGTGCCTACGGAGAAGACGAAATGGAAGATTTCGACATGGCCGACACGCATCGTCGTCTGAACAGTCATGAGGGTGAAGAGAGCGAACTCACGGGCGTGGACTATGGATTACAAGCTGCCGAAGAAGAAGCCTCCTTGATGACTTGGGCGCGTCTCTTGCAACACGATGTCGCCACCAACGGAGAGCCAGAGGAAGAGATGAGTCTCGTCAATGACTTGTTCATGTGGCGTCATCTGCGCAAGCTTGCCACGACGTTTGACATTATCATTGACGAAGAAGAAGAAGTAGAGGAAATGATTCAAGATGGAGAGCAAGATATGATTGAAGAGGCGATGAAGGAACAAATCGCCGAGAACGAAGATGAAATGACTGTCAGTGACCCCGCGTATGACGATGATGTCGATACTCCACTGGGCAACCCGAATGAGGAAGAAATCGATGGAGACAGCGGAGACTGGTACGAAGAAATCATTGCCGACATCAAGAAGGAAACGGTCGACAAGGTGGATTGGGAGGAAGTCGAAAAGGAAATCAAAGACAATTTCGGCGACCTATGGGATGATGCCAAGGATTACATCTTTTCTTCCAGCCGGAGTTCCGCTCGCAACCGATTGAATCAGATGCGTCTTCGCGTAAGTACATGCGGTACAAAGCATACATGGAATCCAAATCAAATGGATACACTCAAAACCAAACTTGAGGCTTATCTTTTTTGTGTTTTCTCTATTACACAAACTACTACACAGCTCAAGGATGTCCTCCGCCGTCCCATGATCGTTCCTACCTTTGGCCAATACGTCTGGGCAAGCAAGCTCTTGAGCAGCTTTATCAATGTCAAGCGAAATTTGCCCCGCGCTCTCAAGGATTCCAGCTACGGACGGCAATGGGGAAACCTATTGACTCTTGGTACCCTACACATTGCACCCGCCGGTCATCCCATGACCGACAAGTTCATTCGGTACCTTTACGACACCTACCCCGCAGCCGCTCGAAATGTCATCATTCGCACGTATCCCGATCATGATGCTGCCCTGGAGTATGTCATGAACACGTTGGATGATGAACGCACATGGGCCGTCATTGATCTCACTCAGCTCGAAGATGGCGCCGACGACACGACTGCCATGGGAGGATCCTACACCATCCGTCTCAATTACACCACCGTCCCCAATACCAACCTCGTCGAGAACTACGTCGCCGCGGGTTTGTCCACCAAGTACCAGCGCTACTATCTCTCGGGGTACTTGACGCTCCAACGAACCATCAACGACTTTGTCATGTCCGAGAGCAACTGCGACCCACACGTTGATCCATTCTTTAGCATGCCCATGCCGACCGCCGATTACCATCAGAATGCCTTCTTTTTGCATGTCGGATACCTCTTGGGATTGGTATTGTGCATGGCCTTTTTGTACCCCACGTCGCGGCTCATTCAGAGTCTGGTGGAAGAACGAGAAACCCGCATGAAGGAAACCTTGCTCATCTTGGGGGTCCGTCCTTGGGCTCACACCACGTCGTGGGTATTGACATCCATGCTCAGCTTTGCATTCATCACCTTTCTCATGTCCATTGTCTTGAAAGAAATCCTCCAGCACACACCCTTTACTCTTATTTGGTTCTGGATGGGACTCTTTGGCATGTCCGCCATGGCGTTTTGCTTCTTTTTGGCATCCTTCTTTAGCAAGGCCAAATTGGCTGCCGTTGTTGGACCCATGGCGCTCTTTGCCAGTCTCTTGCCACGATTTGTCTTTTTCGGTACCAACCGTTACGAAGCCATTGGTGCCAAGTACTTTGCCAGTCTTCTTCCCGGAACCGCCTTGGCTTTTGGAGCCGATATTGTGGGTGACTACGAATATGGAGAGCAAAATGTGGGCAACAGCATGTGGGTCGGAGACTACTCGTTTGGATCCAGTTTGTCCTTTTTGCTATTTGATACCATCCTCTACATGTTCTTGGCTTGGTACACGGAACAAGTCATCCCTCGTGAGTACGGAGCCGCTCCCAAGCCGTGGTACTTTATCTTTACCTGGTGCTTCCCCTCGTCGAGCAAAAAGGCTGTGGCTGGTGATGACAAGGACGATGATGATGATTCGCTCGGAAAGAAGAATGCCGAGGACAGGTGTGTTGTTTGTTTGTTTGTTCAGCTTTCACAGTGATATTGTACTGGCTAGCATGTCTTGCTCACAAACCACTGTTTTCTCTCTCTGGACAGCATTGAACCAGTGACAGACCCGGACCTTGTCCCTCGCGTTATTGTCAAAGATTTGGTCAAACGTTACAACAAGAAGCAAGTCAAGCCATCGGTCAACCATTTGGACTTGACGTTGTACGAATCGCAAATCACGGCTTTGTTGGTACGTTGCCTGACGGTTCATTAGCAGTAAGCACAAAGAAAGTCACAGGTCATCTCACGATGCTTTGATCCTTCATGTTTTTCGTTCAGGGACACAATGGTGCAGGCAAGACTACAACTGTGTCTGTCTTGACTGGACTCTTCCCTCCAACCAGTGGAGACGTTTCGATCTACGGTCATTCTGTTGTTGATGAACTTCACAAGGCTCGTCAATCGATTGGTATTTGCCCACAGCACAATGTCCTATTTGATCGTCTCACCGTGATGGAACACATGAAGTTCTTCTCCAAGATCAAGGGTGTTTCGATCCAGAAGCAAGACTTGAAGGACCGAGCCCTCGAGTTGGGATTGACTGAAGATCAGCTTCGTACAACTGCTTCAGCTTTGAGCGGAGGAAACAAACGCAAGCTCTCCGTTGCTATTGCCTTGTGCGGTAACCCCAAGTTCTTGATTCTCGATGAGCCTACCTCAGCTATGGACCCCACCGCCCGTCGTCGCACCTGGCAAGTCCTCCGCAAGAAGCGTGCTGGTCGTGTGACACTCTTGACTACTCACTTCATGGACGAAGCCGAACATCTGTCTGACCGAGTGGCCGTTGTCAAAGAAGGAGAGTTGCAGTGCTGTGGCAGTCCCCTCTACTTGAAAAACAGGTACAACCTTGGCTGGAATCTGACTGTGGTCATGGAGAAGCCCGAAGGCGACGAAGATATCGAAGGAGGCTACGCAGGATGTCAGGAACGTATCTCCAACTTTCTGCGCCAGTACATCCCTCAGACTGAACTCGTTCGCCGGTCCGGACGTGAGCTCACGTTCTGCTTCCCCAAGGGAACTGAAGACTCTTTCGCAGAGACATTTGATGCATTCGAACAGCAAGCCAAGGATTTGGGTGCTTCATCTTACGGTGTCGAGAATGCGTCTTTCGAGGAAGTGTTTTTGTTGCTTGCCGAAAAGGAGACCTCCGGCGACTCTGAGGATAAGACAGATGACCTGTCCCTTGCCGAGACTCGCTCCGTTCAAACCGATAATGATTCTCTTGCCACAGGTTCTCGAGTTGCTGATTCGGATAGCGAGTCGATTGCTTCGTCCAAGATCACAGCAGGATCCGGAGACACGGATGAGACTAGCTCTACCGCTGCAGCAGAACCAAAGGTCGATGCCTTGGGCTTCAAGGATACGGAAAACTACAGCAGCATGCACCCCATTCGACAAGTTGGTTTATTGTATTGGAAACGCGTTACGGTGGCGAAGCGTGACCTCAAGGGCGCCTTCTTTGCTGTCATCCTCCCTGTCATCCTTATCGCTCTTGTCATCCTGGTGCTTACCGTCAATGTTGCAATTGCTGGACCTGCCAGAGAAATGAGTCCGTCCCTTTACGTGAACTCGTACTCTGCCGCAAGCATTGGACAGGCGACCACTGAAGTCCTTGTCGGGGGTGGAGGCTCCGCTCGCGATGACACCAATGTGCACACTGAGTACCTCTTTATGGACTCTGGACTTACTCACGATTACCCCAACGCTCGCTTCACTCGTCTTGATGAACACATGTCGACTTCCCAAATCTCGGAATACCTAATTGAGACGTACAACGATCACAGTCACCCCACGCGATTTGGAGCATTTTCGATCGACGATAATGTTCAGCTGAACATCAACTTGAACTTTACCGCCTTTGAGAACCAGATCAACTATTACACACGAAAAAGGAAGGCCCACGGCTCGATCAAGCTGAAGGACCAACGCGTGGATGTTTTGGAAGTCATGGGAGTTACTGGCCGAGACGGAAGGCTCTACTGGAAGAAGTCGGTTGCTGAATTAGCTGATGACTTCTACGGCTTGACAAACATGGATCCCTATGCTCGAGTTCGCACTGTAAGTGTGGTCGTGGGTTTCTTGGCGTGTCCTTGGTGTCTGCGTTTTAACCATTCTCTTTCTATTTTTGCAAACAGAGCGAGTTGCATAATCTCACTCAAGCAGCTTTGAAGGGCATCCTTTCTGCGTCCGACGCTGACCTGGAACAGATGCGAATGAAGTTCGAGAATGAAACTCGTGCGTTCGTGGACGAAATGTATGGAAAGGTCATGACCTTCCTACGTTCTCGGCAGGTTCGTGAGATCCAGGCGAACGCAACCCAAATCTACTCGGACTTTATGGATGACGCTAAGAAGATTGCCGACCAGTCAGGCCAAATTGAAAAGGATCTGGGCAACCTGCTCAAGGATTTTATCAAGGCTGCATTCGAGAAGAAAAAAGTAACCGCAGGAGATGACCCGAACAAAGTCACAGCATATGGCTTCGAAGACCAAGGAAACATGGAGGATCTTGTACGCGACTTGGTCAAGGACCTTGGAAACCTTGGTGAAGACCCCGAGACTAACACTTTGTCCATCTACGGTCTCTTGGACAGAGCTGCGAAGGAAATTCGTGACTTGGCTGACTACACTTTGGAGGAAGCAACAAAATCTAACTACACTGTGGCTTCCATTCAAACGGCCATCAAGGATGCTCTGCTTGCTGTCAACGGAGATGAATTTGACCGTGGTGCTATCATGCACGAGCTTGGTGCACTGGTCGATGGCGTGGGCACACTCTACGGCCACGACATCAACAGTAAGCCCTATATCAAGAATGCAACCAAGTGGGTCGATGCTCGTCTGCTGGACTACTCCGATGGTACCATTCGTAGAGTCCCTGGCCATGTCTTTGTCGCTCCTCTCGTTCTGCTCGACTATGTGCTTGGCAAGGTAAGGATCTGATACCTACTGACTGCTTGCGATTTTTGTGTTTGCACTTCTAACGGAAATGCCTTCGTGCTTTCCCTTATTCTCTGCAGTGGGATATGGTCACCATCAGCCCCGATGAGGCGTTTGGACGCCTGAGCAAGATGTTGGGCGGAAACCGTCGCAAGAAGAATGGCTTCATTGCATTCAGAGCCAAGGACATTGTTATTGATATTGGGAAGATGGCGATTGACTTGAACAATGTTTACGTGACCACAGGGCATGGTACAGCACTGGAAATAGACCAGGAGTTTTCCCTTCAATTCTCTTTGGATGCCTTGAAGGATTTGGTTCCGCAAGGAACACCTGTATTGCAATTCCAGTTCGAAATCCCATCAAAGACAAGTCTGCTTCACAACTCATCATCGCCTCACGCCGTGGCGGTCTTCAACCAAGCCTACATGGAGCACCGCTACAAGCAATGTCTAGGTGATGTTCGTGGAAACGCACGCTTGGTGTCTGTGAACCACCCTCTTCCCCTCACTGCCAAGCAGAACTTGGAAATCAAGGTTATGCTCAGTGTCCTTGCATCAATCTTCATGCTGATCCCATTCTGCTACATTCCTGCCACTTTCATTGTCTTCCTTGTGAAGGAAAGAGTCTCCAAGTCAAAGCATCTGCAACTCGTCAGCGGAGTGAACATGTCTGCCTACTGGATCTCCACTTATTTGTGGGATTTGACGCTGTACTCCCTCTTGACCATGTGCATCTTGATCGTGTTCTTCGCCTACGGAAACTCTGCTGAAGTTTTCGTTGGCGACAAAGATTCTTTCTTCGCGACTTTGCTTTTGATTCTTGGATATGGAGTCAGTTCGCTTCCTTTCTCCTATCTTTTGTCCAGGTGGTTCAGCAACAGCAGCACCGCTCAGATTTCTGTCGCTGGAATTGGCTGGTTGACTGGATTCGTAACCGTGATTGCCTACTTCACTTTGGATTCGATGGAGAAGACCGAAGACCTCGCGGAGACCTTGCAGCCTTATTTCCGTCTGTTCCCCGCTTACCACATTGGAGAGGGCTTTTTGAATTTGAGTGCTGCATTCTGGCACCGGTAAGCGCCTAGTCAAATGAAAAGTACAAAATGCGTTTGTCCATTGCCTCAGCTTGTTCCTTCCCCTGGTCTGTGCAGAGAAATTCTTGGATGGAGGACAGATCCCCTCGACTGGAAGGTCACGGGACAATCCATTTGCTACATTTTCCTCTTGGCTCTTCCGTATTTCTTCCTCCTTCTTGTCCTCGAGTACGCCGATGACGGAGGTGCTGGTGGATTCTTGGGACGTGGGCTTCGGGCCGTTGGTCACTACTGGACTCAACTCATGCTCAAATGGCACGGAATCAAGGTTTCCGGCGAAGACGAGGACGCGACACAATATTCGCTTCTCAGTGACAACGGAAAGGACGATGAGGATGTTGCCAAGGAGCGTCAGTATGTTTTGAAGAACAACGAAGAATTGAGACGCACTGCTCCCGTTGTATTGGTGAATCTGTGGAAGGTGTACCCACCATCAGTTGGAGTCCTGGGCGCTTTCTTCTTGCGTTTGCGTCACTGCATTGTGTCTACATTCTGCTTCTTTTGCAAGAAGAACATGGTCCTCGACGTGGAAGACGGAGACGAGAAATCACTAGCTCCCAAGCAAGCTGTTCGTGGCGTCTCAACTGCCATCAAGAAGGGAGAGACATACGCGTAAGTGTTTCGAAGATGAAGTGTCTAGCTTCGTTGAACTATGGCCGTCCTCACCAGCTTCCTTCCTGTTGTCGCTTCTCAGGTTGCTTGGTGCCAACGGTGCTGGAAAGACCACGACTATGGGAATGATCACTGGTGACATTAGTGCCACGGGCGGTGGAGCCTACATCGCCGGCCACAATGCCACTGGAGGAACAAACAACGGAGTTGCAGAAGCTCGCAAGAACATTGGATTCTGCCCTCAAAAGGACCCGTGAGTTGAATGTTGTGTGCTTCTTACGTGCGTCGGACAGGAACAGAGAATTCTTACCCCTACTTTGTTTCGTGATGTTTGCAGCCTCTTGGATTTGATGACATGTCGTGAGACTTTGACTATGTTCGCCAAGCTTCGTGGTGTCCCTGCCAAAGAAGTTGATCCCCTCGTTGTGGAACTATTGGAGCGTTTGACACTTACCCCACACGCCGACAAGGTCACCAAGGCACTTTCAGGCGGTAACAAGCGCAAGCTCAGTTTGGGACTTGCTCTCATTGGCGATCCGAAGGTACTTTTGATTGACGAATCGTCGTCTGGATTGGATCCTTTGGCCAAGCGAAAGATGTGGGACCTCATCGAGGAAGCGGCTCGCTCTCGCTCTGTCATTTTGACCACGCACAGCATGCAAGAGGCTGAAGCCCTCTGCACTCGCGTCGCCATCATGGTCAAGGGCAAGTATGTGTGCTTGGGATCCGTCCAACACCTCAAGACCAAGTATTTAGATGGTTACTCTGTGGACATCTTCTGCCGTAGCTCTGCCAGTCCCTCTATTGTTGACCAAGTGCAAAATGAGGTTTTGAATACCATTCCCGGCAGCAGTGTCAGTGAACGTCACGGCCGCTTCATGCGCTTTGAAGTCAGCAACGTGTCTGACCTGGGTCTCGGCACTTGTTTCCGCCGCTTGCAAGATCTCAAGAACAACGCTGACTTGCACGTGGAGAACTACTCTGTCTCCCAATGTTCACTGGAGCATGTGTTTGTGAAATTGGTGAACGAGGACCAAGCTGCAAGCAACGAAGTCGAGGAGCAAGATGCCACTGCCAATGTGACGGCCCTTTGAGAGTGTTCCGTTTAGACGCGACTCGAATTCGAACTTAGGAAACCAAACCAACTTTTACATTTTTGCATGCCGTGAACCTTACGATGCTTGCCTCCGATATTCAAAAACCCTTTTGGAGGTCCTTGTCAGGGTTCCCACGATACCGAAGGGCAGTTCATCTTTAGCGGTCAACTTGTAGCCCTTTGGGTAATCAATACTTAAGAATCGAATCTTATCGAAGAGTAGCGTAGCTAGCACTTCTTTATGATCGAACAAATTACAACTTTTAAAATCTAATGATGAGCGCGAAAAATCAAATTTGCGGAATGACCCGCCTTGCAGACTGTCAGCAGGGAAGGGAAATGGGACTTAAGCCAGCAAGTCTGCGTGAAACTAACGGCTAGTTTCACGCAGAACCGTTAGTTTCACCCAGTGTTTCATGCCACGTGAAACTAGTACTTAGTTTCACGCAGGTCTGCATGAAACTAACAAGAAACTGCTAGTTTCACGCAGAAAAACGGCTAGTTTCACGCAAGATTTACTAGTGATTACTACGGGTAGATTGATAATTTCACGCACAACTGAACATAGTTTCACGTAGGTGAAACTAACGGCTAGTTCCACGCAGGCCTGTGTGAAACTAACTAGTTTCACGCAGGAAAACGGCTAGTTTTCTGCGTGAAACTAGTCTAGTTTCACGCAGCCTGCGTTTTAAAAATAATAGTTCTCCTCCGAAGCCCGTTTCCGCACCCCGCAGCTCGTTCCATGGGCAGCCATTTTGGCTCAACCAGCATATCAAAAACTCCAGTTGTCCACCCAATGCAGCATAAGCACAAGCCAGTCTCATGAGATCATTGATGAAGAACAGTCAAATGGCCATTCCCATTCCCATAAATGGAACGCTCTTGCCAATCCAAATTTGGTTTCGATCCATCAATGTGGAAAGGGCAAAAGATTTCCGGCGTTCCATGAACTCGTTCACCACTGCCTCCATGGTTTCCAGTCCCTCACTCAGCCTTCGATGCTCTCCATTCTCCTCCATCTGCACCTCGCGGTAAAAGACTGACTTTCTCGGCTTCTTTGTGATGAAGACGGCGTGGTGATGTGCTGATGTGCTGATTGAATGAATCGTACCACCGGTACCGTACGTGTACTACAGACACAAACAACACATCAATCCAGCTTCCGTACACTGGCAAGCGAATGGTCATCCATGCGATAGATTATCTCAAGTTCAGACCAACACAACAACGGACCTTGAGAGGGACTACCGTACTGCCGTTGTAGAAATACGTGGTACTTGTTGGTGCAGCCTTTTCATCGTCATCCAAGCAAGTCCTGACGGAGAGACGTGCGGATGTCCCTGCGACACCCTGGGGCTGTTCGGATTCGTAGTATCCCTAGCTCTAATAAGAAAAGAACTGGGGTTTAGGCAAATATCCCCGATCCCTATGATGTCGAGGCTATTGAAATCATACGTGGTGTCAACGTCTTCTTTTTCTCGAGTCCACGTCACCCCTGTTTGCCACCAATGCTATTGCCTCGATCCAATCTTCAAGCCATTTTGTTGTCTCTCGACCAGCAGGTTGCCCTTTCTTTCGCAGGAGGCGACGATCAGATCACATGTTTCTTCATATCTCAGCATCACAATTCTCTACGCCCTTCTTTGCAACGGTTCTCAGCTTTTCTTTTCTTTTCTTTCCTTTGTTTGCAATCTCCAAGATGACACGCTTCATGGTTTTGTTTGCCCTCGTGGCGGCGGCTGTTGTGAACGGCTACCACATGCAACCCCCTGGTCCTTACGGCCGGTACCGACCCTACACCATGCCGAACGGAGTTGCCTCCACCCAACACTCACCCCTCGAGGTGACGGACGGTCTCTTGTTGGAAGCCGACACTGGATACAATAACTTCAACAACCATGGATACTACACTGGCGAAGGTCCCATGCAGAGGGGCGGTCCTCTCAGGAACGACAGGCCTCGTGGTTTCTATGACCAAGCCTACCACGCGAATTCTGGTTACTACCAGCAGGGATTCTACTCCAGTGAACTCTTTGACGACGGAAGAAACCACATCTACGGTGACTGGTAGGTTGCTTGTTGCTTTTCACGAGTTGGAAGAGTCGATGGGTGGAAGGAAAGAGGGCGCAAGTGGTGATGGTCAACAATCTGCTGACGATTTTTTCAGGATGGCACGAAAATAACAAGGAAAGGTCATCCTGAAGAACGATCAGCATAACGATGGCAGCGAGCCAATGAGGCAGGTGGGACAGTCGCTGCATCATTACACGTACCGTATGATTGTAAGTTTAAATTAATTAAATGAATTTTGCATAAAAAAAGATGACCTTCTAAGCGAAAAGTGGGGATGAGAGCCATGGAATGACCGTGTTGGATCCAACTAGCGAGAGTCTTCGTCGTTAGGGCACACCAAGTGGTAGCTCTGAGCAAAGGATTGGAAAGGAAGCCTTTACTTGGAGTATGGATGATAGTAGCTATTGCACAGGATTACAATGGCGTCAGGAAGTCGCATGAGCTTGAAAGGACCAACGGGTGGGGTGCGTCTACGGGCTGCTCGTGCATGGATGACTCAGAGACAAAGAATGTTGCGGCATGTCGAGCAGTGCTGTCTAGCTGGTGGGCCAATCTTTCCCGATTTCCAAGGTACAGAACTGGCTTGTTGCGAGATGGGTGGACGGATTTGTTGTTTTCATGGTGCGCTGTTGGGGCTTTGTGGCTGATCGAAGCAGACAATAGGATGTTCTGGCAACATGGGAAGTTTGGTAAGGCAGGTGCGAGGTAGGTGTTAGAGGAGGGAGTGTGGTGCGATCGTTCAGAGGCCGGGAACTGCGCGCCAAGACCAAGGTAAGTAATCTTCAGTAGTACTAACATCATTGGAGTCGGTGGATAGCATTTCCCCTCACTTGGAGTTTCGTTTAGAAGGTTAGTTGTGTAGTCAGGTCTGGCTCCAGGCTAGGAGGGCGAGCCATTCACAAGTGACAGCCATTCTTCACCCACCACCTTCCTTGTGGCGTGCGTGTTGGGGGCAGGTAGGTGGAGGGTTCAGGGGCCAGCCAGACACACAATAACACGCTTTTGGTTAGCAAGGAAAACGAGGAGTCTCAAGGAGACCCATGGTTTCAACAGCTGACAGTATGCTTGGAGTAGGGGAGCATCTTGGCTGAAGTTGCGCAAGGTGACAAGAGACATGATAAAAAATATTATGGAAGCCATCGCTGAAGGTAGCTGGCTCCCCAGAGTTACCTTCGGTATGACATCAGTGGGGCCTACTAGACATGGACCAGGAGGAAGTCTAGGTGTAGGTCCTGGGTTTGTTCCTGGTGTGGGTCCATCAAGTTGGCCTGGAGATGAACCAGGGGCAAGACGAGGTGCGTACGATGCCTGGATACGGTATGGATGCATGGGTCCAGGAGCAGGTTGTGGTGTAAGTCTCAATGTGGGACCAGGAGTGGGGCCTGAAGATAAACCAGGGGTAGATCTAGTCCAGTTTATGTTGTAAGTCCTGGCGTTTGGTAGGTTGCAAACGTCCAAGTGTGGGAAGAGGACTGTAGCATGAAGCCTTTGCTGGAGAATCGAATCGAGTCGCCGATTAGAGATAAGGCTAACCGACTGAGCCGACCGCAAAGGAACCATTCCGAACCACCACCAGAGCCGCCAACAACACAACGACCAAAGGTCATTGCCCACTTTTACTTCTCGATTACACCAGCAGAAAACTTAGTTACGGTAGACTCACCATGGACTTTGCTCAAATGGCAGGAGGAGGAGGCGGTGCCCCTCCGTCAGAACCCTCTGACGATGGCAAGATGATGGATTTGGGTGTAAAGATTGCGTCGCAAGAGTGCTACGCCAAGAATGTGGACTCTCGATTTCCCATGACAAATCTGTTCATTGGTGACACTCGACTGGGATGCAAGAGTGACGCCGACGAACAGTTGATTTTGCATGTGTCCTTTCAAGAGTTTGTCAAGGTATTGATTGATTGTCATGATGCAAATATAGTACTGTCTGATAGCGGCGTGGTGTAGCTCAAACTTGTTTTTTGCGCTTCTTTTGCATTTTTCTTTTTGTGACAGCTCCGCTCGATCAAATTCACCGAGTTCAACAACGGGACGGACCCCGAAATCAATCCGTCAAAGATTCACATCTTTTTGAATCGCGAAGTGGGCTTTGAAGACTGGGAAGACGTGGATCCGACGCAGACGGTGCACTTGACGGCGGAAGATTTGAAAGAGACGGCCGATCCGACACCACTCAAATACGTCAAATTCCAACGAGTGCGCAACATTACCTTGTTCATTGAAGACAATGCCGGTGGAGACATTTCCGCCTTGGGAGCGCTCAAATTCATTGGAAGGCCCGTCGAGACGGTCAACATGGATGATTTCAAAGCCAAAAAGGGATGAGGAAGTTAGAGAAAGAAAAATGGCGTGGATGGATTTGATTTGGGATCATTTACGACACACACACTCAACAATTTTCTGTAAATGACGCAACAACCAATACAATATCTCGGCTACAGATACGTGAAAGTGGCATCACATCATCATCATCATCTATCCATCATCATGGAGCTGGTGGTCAACAGTTCGGTTCCTTTCGTCGAACAACCACCATCCAACTCCAGCTTTTTTTTCTTTTTCAACACTAACAAAAACACCACCACCACCACAAGTCAATGGGAGGCCCTGGAATGACGGCATCAAAAGGATACTCCTTCCAACGAAGAGAGTACCGTTTTGTTGCCTGAGAAAATAGGGAGCCCCCCCTGGCTTGGCAAAACAGCAATTACAATAAAAATGAAATTCATATACTAGTCTGCACGACGAAGCATGCTATTGCGTAGAGTCGAGTCGAGACATCTATCTTGTCTATCAAAATTGGTACTTGCTCCTGTTCTCGAAACTGACGACAGACCATGACCTACGGCCATCCACGCTCCATCTAGTTTCACGAGCAGCGCTGCAACTCATGTCACTCGCGTGCATCAATTTATGTGGTCGATTCGATTCATTCAAGTTTTGTCCACGATCATAGGTTCAGCTTTCACAGAAGAAGGTTTGAGTGGGAACTCTTGGTTGGTACGTATCTGACTCGGCTCGACTTGCGGAGCTTGCTCTTGGGGAGCCTTCATCTTCAGCAGCTTGCTCTTGGGAAAGTTTACGGGAGCTCTTGGATCTTTTCCAAACAATGATGCCCCAAATCTAACTCTCATCGTACCGTACCGAAGCATCAAGTCAAGGCTCATGTGGAGCGAATTGATGATTCCTTGGGGTCAGCTGCATCCTCTGACTCTTTTAATAAATAATTAGTGCGACCACAGCGTTTGTGTGGCGTTCTGCTCTTTTCTAACCCAACCCTTTGGTTCCGCTACAAATCAAGCCCTGTTGCGTTGCCACCTTCATACAATTCTCTTTCTTCTCGGGCCCTTGAATTCAATCCGCCCAAGCGATGAACGCATTGCTAAACTGGCTGTCGTTCTGTGGAATACAAAGCGGATTCAAAGACTCTAGCTACGTAGGGTAGGAGGTAACATCACAGGTAGCAACATTGTCACCTACAAGGCAATTCAAGTAATACTTGTAATGGGATAGACTCTTCAAGTAATAGCGCGCAACGAACGAATGAGTTTGCCTCATCCCCTCCCTTATACCGGTAGCAATGACAGGTCCAGGCACCTACATTAGTCGCCACGTCGCGAAGTTACAAGTGAAGTGCAGGGCAAGCATTCGAACAATGAAATGGGTTTCATCGGACCAGCAATAGCTTTGACACCGTCACAACTAAGAAGACGACTTTTCCTTGATCTGTAGGAGATAATCAAACTCGGGTCTCTCCTCTTCGTCGCTGTCATCCTCGTCACTTTCATCCTGGTCAGAATCTTCCAATGAGAATCCAATCGATCTAGGAGCGTCGAAATCCTCCCAATCTGATGGATCAATGGGCCAACCAGGAACTTGGCTTCCATCTTCTGCGAAAACCCAAAAGAAAACAATATTGTACACCTTTGGTTCTTCGCTCTTGTATACACCAGCCATCACTTGTACCCCGTCGGAAAATGTGGTCGACGACATCACTATCGGGCTCCCGACGTTAAAGTCGTCCGGAACGTCTCGCCTTCCCTGCATGAAATCCGTCCATACTTTAGCGCCATTGAAGGGTATCCAAAGAGTGGCCTGTAGCGGTTTCGTCGCCATTGTATTCGATAAACTGGCGGTCCCGATATCTGTGTTGGGTAAGCAGCAGCACTGCAGCTTTGAGGAGAGAAAGTTTGTTTTAGTTTGTAAGCTTAACCTCGGCAGGTAAACTGCCTGAGTTTTAACCTCGGCAGGTTAACTGCCTGAGTCCTCTACATGTACCCCTTTAATGGCAAATAATCTGTCTGTGGGATCCCCCTGGTTTTTGTCTGTGGGATCCCCTCATTTTGTGTCTGTGGGATCCCCCTCATTTCCTGTCTGTGGGATCCCCTATTCCGGTGAAGCCAGGGTATAAGGATAGAGATAATGTAAGCTGGCAAAACTGGAAATTGAAGGTTCAATAAAAGTTAGGGGTAGGAATATATCAATGTAATTTAAGGTTAGTGCACTCAGGACAAAAACACAATAAGCCAGCAGGTGTTGTAAATTTAGAGTTACACGATCGAATGATAGTTGTAAATTATGGGTTAGCCCGTGGCAACGCCAATGCTAGCTTAATATAAAACAGAAGGTTACAATGAGGGAATGATAGTGGGCGGCAACACACGACGAAGTCGGGTGTTGTCGCCAGGGCTAGCTTAAATAAAAAGAAGGTTATAATGAGGGAATGATACCAGGCGGCAACACACGACGAAGTCGGGTGTTGTCACCAGGGCTACCTTGAAAGAAGGATGCAATCTCAAACACGATCCTCTTTCTTCTATTTGTCTTTCTGCCGAGGTATCGCAGCTCCCGCTGACTTATAGAGAACAGACCTTCATACTTAGGAAACCGAGACCGGAAGGTCGAGGTTAGGGAGGTTGACCGAGGGTGAGGTCGTTAAGTAATCGAAGACCGAGGCGCATGCCGAGGTCGAGGTTACTTAACGACCAAATCCCGAGGTCACCGAACCGGTCCTAAGTTGAAGGTATGTTACTATGGGAAACTAACCGACGGTTAACGCCCAGGTTCGTTGAGAAAAGTAGCCGTTGGTACCCACCGTGGTAAGCCATGCCCAAACAACAACACAACAAGAGCGACGGCGAAAACACAAAAGAGTGACAACACAAGAGCCACACCAGCCCTCGCGGCGTTTGAGCGACAAGCCCTCGCGAGGTTGGAGCGACTACTCAAAGAAGCAGCAGTTCGCTCACTGGTTTTGTAGTAGTAACAGCAGCCGTAGTAGTAGCAGTAGTGGTTGTTGTTTTTGCGTTGTATAATAGCTTCTGCCGACAACCTCAAGCCACGGTAAAGCAGGTTTCAACTATCAATGAGGTTTTCAACGACTGAGTTTTACTTAAGGGACAAAGTTCCCCAACCTAAAATTGATCGAAAAACGGCGGTCACCCTTCATCAAATGTTTGTACTATAATGTCTACAGTAAAATAAAGGTTTCGAACCAGGGCCGAAACCAAGGTGGTTTCCTCAACCCCTTTACCTCGGCAGGTAAACTGCCTGAGTTCTCAACCCCTTTAATGCTATTTCCTATTTCCTATTTCCTGTTTCCTATTTTCTATTTCCTATTTCCTATTTCCTATTTTCTATTTCCTATTTCCTATTTCCTATTCCGGTGAAGCCAAAGTATAAGGATAGATATAGTCATAAGACAACAAAACTGAACATTGATGGTTCAATACAAGTTAGGGGTAGGAATAAATCATTAATATTTAAGGTTAGTGCAATCAGCACAACAGCACAATAAGCCAGCAGGAGCTGCAAAGGTTAGAGTTACAATAAGGGAATGGCAGCTGGTAAATTATAGAGTAGCGGGCGGCAACACACGACGTAGTCGGGTGTTGTCGCCAGGGCTAGCTTAAATAAAAAAAGGATGTTACAATGAGGGAATGATACCGGGCGGCAACACACGACGAAGTCGGGTGTTGTCGCCAGGGCTGCCTTCTTGAAAGCAGGGTGCAATCTCAAACATGTCGTCCTTCTTCTATCTGTCTTTCTGCCGAGGTATCGCAGCTCCCGCTGACTTAAATGCTATTTCCTATTTCCTATTCCGTCTCCTTGAGATGGCGCACCTTTTGGTTACCCCCTCAGTTGCACTCTGAAATCGATTTGCCGGCGTTTACTGTGTAAATTAGAGTAGCCGCACTTCAGTTGCAGAATCAACGGTCATGTGTATCGTTAAGTAACAAGTTCCCTTTCGAAAGATTTAGATTGATTCGTGGATCGATTCACGGATACGCTGAAATCGAATCTTGTGTCGATAGGGCTGAGGTTGTCGGTAAGGTTAAGGCTGCGCGGTTCTTTAAAGAAAAGAGTATCTTTGATGCTTTTGTCGGTAGAGATTGTTGTGCCTCCCGATTTCCATAGAGATTGTATGAGGGATGGTATGCAATTCTGCAACTGCAATAACACTCTTGATACTGGAGTTTTCCAACTTGACGGCTGTCGGCCGAGAAGAGAAAACCTTCGATTTGCAGTGCTTTTTCAATGGTGGTGGCTTTCTGCTCTGAACCGGGGAAGATCGGCTTGGATAACAGAGGAGTACCGGCCGATCGATTCGGAAAGGCTCGTACCTCAATCTATCCTCGCACCTCTGCTGCCGATCCATTATTGAAGGCGCAGCAGTGACTTCTCTCCCTCATTGCATTCCTATGGCAAACAGGAAGTAAATGCAAGCTTGGCCGACAAGAGTGGTAGTAGCTACCTAGGAGGAATTCTTTATTCAATCGAACGACCGATCGAACGGTACGAGGTAAGCCTATTATCAAGTGTTTATTGAAGATGCAGCGCTGACTTCTCTCCCTCATTGAATTGCTATGTATATCAGGAGAGAATTCTGAGCTCGGCCGTCAACAGGTGAGTTGTTTTAATTATTCGAATCGAATCGTCGCACCTCTATTATCTCTGTTATCCAAGCCTCACCCAAGCCGGCTGTCTTGGTGTAGATTCGAAAGCCACCCTCATTCAATCCTATGGACCATGGGTGGCAGTCAGTTCTCGGCCATGACGGCCAAGTTGGTGAATTTGAAAAACAAGAGTAAGTCTCCGGTTTTCTCAGTATCAGAAGAAAGAGAAAACCATATCTATTTCTTACTTTCTGTTCTCTTACTGCCGACGGCCAGAAATCCATTGTCGAGTCCTTTTCGAACAAACGATCGCAACAAGAGGAGAAGAGGCTACCGGTGAACTGGCTACAATGGCTGGATGACAATATTCGGTTGGCTATATTCGTCATAGGATCCAATTGCGAGGTACCGGTAACCGTAGCGAGCAAACCGACTTTCGGTACTGTTGTCCACTGTCGTGATGAGCTATAAATAAAGCGGGCAGCCGATAACCACATGGCTGGATTCATAATGTTCGGTTGTGCATGTATTCGTCATAAGGATCCAATGCAAGATATCGGCAATGGAGTGTAGCCAGCAAAGCGGAACCTGAGTGTGTTCGGTACTGTTGACACTGGCTGTCGCCGATGTAACTATACGGCAGCTAGCTACGATGGCTGGATTGACAATATTCGGTTGTGCATGTATTCGTCATAAGGATCCAATGCAAGGTACCGGTAAACGGAGTGTAGCCAGTAAAGCGGAACCTGAGTGTGTGCGGTACTGTTGCCACTGTCACGGACCATGTAACTCTCTGCCTACGGTACCGGTACCGTAGCTGGCTACAATGGCTGGATTGCACAAGTACTGTAGCGAGCAAACTGAGGAAACAGGAGACGAACGCTGAAAAAAAGCCGAATTTTCTATTTCCTATTTCCTATTCCGGTGAAGCCAAAGTATAAGGATAGAGATAGTCATAAGCCAACAAAACTGAACATTGATGGTTCAATACAAGTTAGGGGTAGGAATAAATCATTAATATTTAAGATTAGTGCAATCAGCACAACAGCACAATAAGCCAGCAGGAGCTGTAAAGGTTAGAGTTACAATAAGGGAATGTCAGCTGGTAAATTATAGAGTAGCGGGCGGCAACACACGACGTAGTCGGGTGTTGTCGCCAGGGCTAGCTTAATAAAGAAGGTTGCAATGAGGGAATGAATGATACCGGGCGGCAACACACGACGTAGTCGGGTGTTATCGCCAGGGCTGGCTTGAAAGATGGGTGCAATCTCGAACATGATCCTCCTTGTTCTATCTGTCTTTCTGCCGAGGTATCGCAGCTCCCGCTGACTTATCTAACAAGCGAGGATTTATGGGATTGAATCCAAGCTTGAAGGATAGTCTAGCTAGCTAGTGCATAGATATGTATGGATTTTAAACTCCGCTGTGTATGCAACTAGTAGTAGACAAGAGATCTAGACGGTGGAGATGATAGGAGACAGGAGATAGGGGTAGACCTATTCCTCAAACAATCTGTCCATCGTTGCTAACGCGGGAGGTAGTCTACGTGGATTATCCACAGTACCGGTCTCGGTCGGTAGATTATCTACCGATACACGGAAGCTACCGGTAGCCAGCGAGGGCCAGGCTGAATTTCAGCAAGGAAGAGCGAGATAGAAAGCCTGTCACTCACTCTTCAATCTTTGCTGCCCCACCCTGGCTTGGCCCCGTCAGGTTCCCATCGATGGTATCCCAGCGCAGATCCCTGCCATTGCTTCAAACTACTCTGGTTGGATGGGAGAGAATGATATCCCCAAGCTTCATGTGACAGCTACACCTGGCCTTGCTCTCTTTGAGGGTGGCGATCTGTTGGAACTTGCCCGCACATGGAAGAATCAGAAGGAGGTCAACGTTGCTGGCATCCACTTCATCCAGGAGGACAGTGCAGCTGAGATTGCCACGGCCATTGATGATTGGCTTCTTGGAGATGAATTCTTGGGAAGCTTGGAAGTTGATCCTGCTCTCCTCACTACTACTAGTACATCCAAGACTGGTGGTTCTGATGCCGGCACAGGTGGAAGTGTGTCCTCTGGTGCCCCTGTGTCTACTGGGGGGCGTTTTCTTGTTGCTCTTCGTTGTTACGTGGTAGAGAGCCCCTCACTTTGAACGGAATATGATAGTCTGAAGTCGATAAATATTTGCTTGCCTGCGGTAGGCGGCCCAGCACCGTGCTTGTTGATTTGTCTCCCAGTCTATACCATAGATGTTGCAGATTGCTAGGTCCAAACTATAGCTCTAGACAAGTTAGTTGTGAATAACAAACTATACTGCTTGAAACGCAACAGCCACTGGCAAATGATCGGACGGTTCTTGTTCATTGGGACACGGTTTGTCGGCCAACGTGTCCAAGACGGCCGTGGGTTGCAATGCGGCACTGCAATAGATGCGATCGTAGCGTGCTGTAAAGAGTCCACAATCGGGCAAGGGATCGCCCAGCACGGCCATGTCATGTGCAATACCCCAAAATTTGCCTCCCTTGAGTTCCTTTTGGTAAACATTGATGAATCCTTCCAAGGACAGCGTGGCCGTGTCCTCCGAGGGGAGCTTTATCCGTTTCTTTTGTTCTTCCCACGGCACTACTTCACCAGCAGCAGTAGCCTCCGGATCGGTCCATCCCATTTCCAGTGCGGCATTCCTGTATTCATCTCCTCGTCCAAGTCGGCCATTGATTTGGACCAACCACTGCTCGACATCTTGTCGTGTCAAGGTGTTTTTGTCGGACGACGCCAACCGTTTGTAGATGCGTGCCAAGCGATCCTTCATGTCCTGGGAAAAAGTGGGCGTATCGTACGTGGCTTCTTCCATCAGGGATTGCATGAGCTCGGCCACAACCATGGTGGGAGGAGGATGCCGTGTGACAACGGCAGCCGTGGCATCCTTCATGGGTTCCGCTAACGGCAACTCTTTGCGCCCCGAGGATACGGGTTCATTGTCTTCTCGAAAGGTTTCATCAATGAATCCATCTTCGAGGAACCGTACGGCACCACATTCGGGTCCTCCATTCATATCGCCACAAACAATGAGACGAATGGATTGTTCGGGTGTGGGTTGTTTGAGTTTGCGACTCAACGTCATGGCGCCTCTGACGGCTTCATTCATTTGCCGGAGTCGTCGCGGTCCTTGTTTTCCCGCTTGGAGATGACAATTGACAACGTACCAACAGGATTTGTCATCGCCATTGACTGTTGTAAATGCCGTGATAATGGCTCGATCCTTGTGCACAGCTGGACCGGCCAATTGACAATGACTCGTCTTCCAAAAGGTGGCGGGTCGAAAGCGTCCTTTTTTCTTGTACAATTCCACGCCATCGTAGCCTAGTTCCTCCTTCATAAAGGCAAAGTCCTCTTCAAAACTGTCGGGAGCAATTTCTTGCAAACAAATCACATCGGCATTGATGGTCCGCAATCGTTCTTGCAGCAACTGACGACGATAGTCCCAATTCGACAAATCTTGTTGTTCCAACGGCGGATTGTACATTTTGTAGTTCCACCAACCATCGCTGCTGTTGGGAAGCAAGACATTGTAGGAAACCACGGACAAACCTTTGTCATTGGCGGGCAGTGAGGCTGGACTGATCAAGTGTTGGACGGATAGAGCATCTGTAGCAGTAGCCATGGTTATCAGAAAGAAAAAGTTGATGAAAAGAGTTCGAATCCAAAGCATTTGTGAGCCGATCTTCAATTTTCACAGAAGGATCCAAGACAACGCAATCTCGATCGGCTCAGAAACTCGTTCGCTACACTGCTTGCTTCAGACTTGCCTCCCAAACACACAGCACGTCGGAAGAAAGTGTCATGGTCCACTGCGTCTGGGTGTCTGGGTGCTTGGCGCTTGCTTGTGGTTGGCATCAGATCCCAAAAAATGAGTCATGGGTGGAGGACAGACACCGTGTTCTCCGCCGTGGAAACAGAATGCCAAAAGGAGCAGAAGCCGCAACTTGCGCTCCTCTTTGAACCCTCTGGTTGCCTCCTCTACTAAAGAAGCAACCACAAGCTGCCAGCTAGCTAGCTGAATACTTCACAGACTTAGTTCTACTAGAGTTGAATTTGGCTACCGCACAATCTATAGCATTTGTGGTTTCTATAATATGTATTGAATTGCGAGTGTACAGCTCAAGAACAAACAAAGCATCCACAGTTTCTCTTTCAAGCATCAACCAATCTGGGATCTTAGTAGAGGTCAAAGTTAAACCAAGTACTGCTAACTGGTCTGTATCCTGTATGGTAACTGGCCTCGTGTGGGCCCAAAATAATGTTCGCGCCGACACGAATGGTTCACTACGGGTGGACCAGACAGAATCCTTCACCATCGTTGGTTGCAGGAGATGACGATGCACCGGCGCCTCATATTTATAGTAGAACCGGCTGTGGATTTCCTGGTTCCTCATCCAATGTGTTCGATGCAATTGCCAAGAACTAGGGTGGATTGCTGCCCCTTTCGGATATCGTGGAAACGGGCAGCTCCCCCGCGAGGAACTGTGGGATCTCTCACTTATTTCATGAGGTTAGCCTTGTTTGCCGCGAGCCACTCATTTCTTTTTCTTTGGCAATTTCAATGGCAGTTGGGCGTTCAGATCCGGGCACGTCACAAGCTCCAACGTCCCCAACCAGCCCTTTTCCTCCAACAATTCAATCGGGCACGTGCGAATGGAAATGCCAAGACCGGTCCTGGCTGTTTGGGCCTCGGCAAAAACATCAAAATCCGACGGCATGACAGAATTAAATGGCCTAGATTGATCCACCCATCCCATGTGATGGTAGAACCGTTGCACGATAGAGGCGCAAAAGTCATCGGATCCTCGCGCTCCTTGGGGAAAGTCCTGTGAATTGTCATTGTCTTGTAGTTTGTCGTTGCTGTTGCTGTAACTGTTGTCTCGCTTGTGGTAGGAAATGGCGGCTTTGATTTCATCCTTGGCCACTGTATAGATTCCACCTCGTACGGATTGGATAAAGGAATTGATGCGCTCCGTGTCATCTCGTCCGGGGGCATTGTGCAATCGGGCAATGGCAATGGACGTCCATGGTTTGGCTCCCGATTCAAACAAGCGATGCGCGAGATCGTAGAGATGAATCCCCTCTCCTGTCGATTCCAGCAATCCGACATGTCCCAAACCGGTCAATTTGGATGGCGCAAAGTCTCCGGTAGTGTCGTCAAAGCAGCGACAGTACCCCGGTGAACAAAATTGATGGGCCGTGCGACGAAAGGGATAGGCACGGAGTAGTTCTTCCGTTTTTTGATGGGGGCTTTGGCCACAAAGAGGAGACCTTCTGACGACAACCGATGCATGGGACCATGGTGTATTGAGGCTAAAGTTGATGAATTGTCCCATGGCCCCCTTGTCGTCTTGCATGAGAACGATATCTCCCGTGTTTAACGATGATAGTCGTTGGACCAATTGTGCCGTGGTTTCGCAAGTTGCCGGTGCAGCTGCCAACTCGGACCATCCTGGATATCCCGTGATGGTGCAGATATAAGAGTGATGTGTGACAGGATAAATCAGTGACATGCCGGCCTTGACGAATTCGGGAAAGGAAATACTCCCCGAATCGTCTCGATCGGTTCGGTTGTATACGGAATCCATGAACTGTCCTTGCAAGGTTCGTTCGAGACAGGCCACTCCAATTCTCTTGAGCGCACTGGAGAATGTCTTGCGAGTCAGTCCTTCTTCATTCAAATTGTCCTCGGCGATCACGTCATTAAAAACTTGGCAGAGAATGACAAGGGCAAAGGAAAATGCCAACAACTCGGATTCATCCATAAAGCCCGTCTTGTTCTTGTTGTACCGTGCAAAGGCTTCGGCGTCGAGCATGGAACGAACCAACAGTGACCGCATGGAGGAGGAGTTGGCCATGGGAACTGTTTTAATGGCAGCACGGACCATGGGAAACATGGCTTCACCGTTGTGATCATCATCGCTCATACCCAAAAAGTGGACTCCCATTTGTTGAAATCCCTTGAGGGACAGTCCCACTGTGGCATCTTCCTCCTCCTCGTCACCATCTGTACTATTGATAGTAATGGCATGACAAAGAAACAGTTTTCGTGTCTTGGCGGCCGTGTCAATGGCTTGCTCAAAAGTATCCAACATGACACCGACACCACCATTGTTGTTGTTATTATTGGATGTGCTCGTCACAAGCCCTTGAAAGACAAAGCCTGCCAAGGGATTTCGCGACATGTCGGGGAAACCGGCATCTTGCAGAGCGGCAAAGAATCCTTTCTCATTTAACGATGCATACTTGACAAAGCTGGCTTGTTGGGTATTGGTAGTTCCTACTGATGTACCATCGGACTTGCTCATCTTGACAACTAATAAGTCGCCAACTATGGAGTTGGCCTGTTGCGGATTTTGTTGTTTGGTGTGTCAATCAATCAATCAATCGTTCGTTCGTCCTCGTTTTAGGGTTACAGGCTAAAGTCTCTGTACTGTACCATACTGTATGATGAGTACAGTAAAGGTAGATATTACCATTGCGCGGTGCCGGCCAGATGTAACCCAACTCCACTCCTCATACCGACCCAACTCCTCCGCTGGCTAAGAGGGTTGCTTGGTAGCTCTAGCAGTAATGCTAACTGCATAGCCGAGGCTCAGCAGGAGGGGCATTTGTGATGGAACTTGGCATTGAGCTGGGGAAGGAGCTGCCCAGGAGGAAGGCTATAGAGATGCCACTGACTGGGAAGATGAGGCTAACTAGATGGGCTCAGGCCAGCAGGGAGGTACAACCAGGACTGAGGCTGGAACTAGTAGGACGGGGGGAGGAGCTAGGAAAACTGCTAGGGAGCATGTCAGTAGCTGGGAGTGTTGCACAATCCACTGTCATGCCTTTTTGCTATTTCTGTTTCCGTAGTTGGCGTCACCGGAGGCATCTTGTTTCTCTCTTGGGGTTCGTGGCTTTGTGGCGTTGTTGGGTTTTCGTGGGGAACTCCAGTCAAAGATACCGTACCGTTCGTGCTTAGGGCTCAGGATACAAAAATATCCACGAATGGCTCGGAAGTGCCTCGAACCAACTTACGGTTCCGGTCCCAACCACGAGAGCTCTCCAGGAAATCTTGCAATGCCGGGTTGTTTAGACCAATCTGGGGCATCTTATCTTGCTGAGTCTGTACACTTGTAGACCATGGCGGGCGAACACAATTTCCATCATTGGATGCCCCAAGGCTCACTCTATGGGACTCGGAATGAGCTAGAAGCACGTTGTAAATGCGACTGGGACCGGGACGCCTGATGTGCTTTTGTCTGATTGGTGCTTAGCATTGCACCTTTTGTCCTAAGTTAGTCGTTACGAGTACCGTATGGTGTTTGCGGCCCCCCAAGATGACTCAAGCCGTGAAGACTGAAGCATGACGATCCTGATCGCAGTCGTCATTGGCACCAGTTGGTACTGGTGGCAAATCAGTGTCCTCATCATCATCTGTGCGTATTCGCTCTCTGCATTGTCTGCATAAATGCCCCCCAAAAGCGTAAGAAGGTGCCCCCTCGTTCTCGAAATCGTCAGGTGGGCCAGTTGATTTCTTCAGGCGATCCCAACCGGTCAGTGAAGCGAAGGAGACTGCTCCGCTACTACTTGTGCCATTGAAATCATCGTCGTCGTGCTCGGCCAAATCAGTGACACGCGTCAGCATGGTAGCGACAATATCAACTTTACTCTGTCGAACCATTTTGGATGGATCATGTTTGGTCACAAACTTTGGTAGGAAGTAAATGACAATTGTTGCAATCACGTCACAGCTCAAGGTAAGACTTCGTATTCCTGCACTCGTGGCACTCGCCAAGTGCGCCTCGTCAAGGAAGTAAGTTACTAGCCGAAACACAGCAAACATAGCATGAGAGTAAATCATCATGGCAACTGTTTGGCTCTCGTTGAACACGACTTGAAGCTTGCGAGTTTGAACTGCCAACACTGTAGCAACTATCAAGTATATGAACAGCACCGAAATCGAGACTCCGCGCCAATATCGAGCTCCGTTGTCACACCTGTAGGAAAGTGCCACAACTGTCTCGCCGTCTTCGGTGACCTCATCTGTGAGTTCATGTTCTGCAACCTTGCTTGTAGTATCCACAATTGTCCAGCAAGTTAGGAACACGACAGATAGAAACGAAAGGACAACGACGAACCCAAAGAGCCTCTTTCGCGGGATAACCACTCTTTTCATCTTGCGGGCTGCCTTCATCGGATGATTTAGCGCAGCCACTTTGACTATAAGCGGGACCAATTCCAGTGTATAGCCCAGATTGACCAGCCACACAGACGCAATGCAGGCCCCCACGGTTGGATCGAGGACCATTGTAATGGAACCGGCCGAAATAGCCATCAGACCAATCTGAAGGATTGTCAGGAATTCGATTTGAGCATATTTGATGGCGGGTGTCCTTCTGTTGCGGTGAGTTATGACAACTGACAACAGAGTCATTGCTGCAGCAATGGCACCAACAGCCAGGGATGCATAGTACAGGGGGGTTCGCCTCTGCAATTCCTCGAGTACTCGAGGGTAGGATCTTGGCAGAAAATGATTCCCGATATGCTCAATATTGTTTACGACCCATTGACAAGTTGCCATTCGCGGGTCATGGTTCCACCTAGCTGTGTCCCCAGGAAAGCCATCCTTGATAATCTGCCCCAGTTGAACCGTTGAAATTTCGAACAGCTTGATGGCTTCATGGGCCGGGCTTCGCCTTGCTTCTGGTATTCGTGGGTCATTGGTTGCATCGTAGAGACTTCTGGCAATCACTTTGCTAAGGATCTGCGTTTCAATGTCGCATGCTCCCAGGGGATGGCCATATCTCTTTTCGGGATCCTCTGAGCATCTGCCTTCCGTAGCAATTCTATGTTCAATGCATTCTTGTGTTGGGGCGGGCAGATCTACCTTCAAAAACGCTGAATCAGTTCCGACAAAGCTCTGCTCCAGGATTTGTGGACGCCACCACTGAGTAATGAAGTATGACTCGGTGGCATTCGCAGCTTCGATGATTTCTGTGAGCTGGGCATAGGTGTATTGTTTGGGTTCAAGATTCAGACCTAAGTGGTGAATCTGGGGAATGGAGAAGCTCTTCCAGTCGCAAGGATAGTCTGCAAAGTGACCTTTGAAAGAAGAAGAGGGGTTAGGGGAGTTGCATCGGCAAGTGTCATTGAAGGGGGGATTCAAAGGAGCTCGTACCAACGCAAGTAGTTGGATTCAGATCGCAGTCATTCTTCTCGGTTTTGCGGAAATGGCCGGTATAGACGTTCTCGACAAAGAAACTTGCTCCCTCCGTCTCATCCTTTGGGGGGCGCTTGGCCATACCGTCGTCTGCTGTGCAGTTCGATTTGGAGACGAGAGAACAGTACTCTGCAAATGTGGTAGGCCACAAGAACATCTCGGCAACTTTTCGTCGATTCTCCTCTCCCTGGAACCCCAAGTACGACATGACCGTAGGATCATGAAGGCCTACTCTCCTGGGAACGAACCAGCCCCCTGTACCCAAAACTCCTACTGGTGTTGGCGGCTCAAAAGTTCCATGCGACAGAATCATTTCTTGCACTCGCGCCAATCGAGTTTCCCATACCTCTGGAACAATATGAGCACAGGATTCGTAGCCTCCTTCCTGATTGCCCTGGCCAGACAGTCGGCAATCGACCACTCGGTTGGCCGTGGTGAATGCATTCCAGTCATTGGATATTCCATAGTCTAAGGGGCTTGAAGCATCATAAAAGTTCAGCTTGGCATCTGGAGTTCCAGTCTCCACAGTGGTGGGAACATCTAGCTAGCATCTCCGAGAGCAATATCTGTAGCAACCAGGTCATGATGTAGGAGCTTTCCCAGTTTTGAGCAAGTATTCGTATCTCCATGTGTTCAAACTCATGATTTGGTCGTCGACAATGACCCGACCGCGCCGTCATCTCATCGTCTTCCGAGTTGCAAACTCGTACTTTCTTATAGGCGGACGGGTGGTCTTCAGGCAATAGATTCTCTAGGCATCCGCCAACAGTAAAAGGGTTTGTACAATAGCCATCGGATCCGCAGTCACTTCTCGGTAACAGGGCATCTTCGCACTGTTTTTCCGAAGTGCAAACGATCCGAGCAAAGACCGTCTGGACCAAGGACACGACGATGCAAAAGGTGAGAGGTGGTACGTTCCAGTTCATTTTCCAATCCTTCGGTGCGAGGCAAGAGCGAGGTGCTTTGGGTTGTCGCCTGTTTTGCTGTTGTGTCCTTCCCTTCCATGCCCAATGAACTCAGCAAAGGTGGGAGGGGCCTGTGTCCTGTGGGATGGAGATTTTCTGCGGTAAACCAACATACAGGTAGCTAATTGAGACTTACCTTGGCAGGTAAACTGCCTGAGTTCTCAACCCCTTTACCTCGGTAGGTAAACTGCCTGAGTTCTCAACCCCTTTAATGCTATTTCCTATTTCCTATTTCCTATTTCCTATTTTCTATTACCTCGGCAGGTAAACTGCCTGAGTTCTCAACCCCTTTAACCTCGGCAGGTAAACTGCCTGAGTTCTCAACCCCTTTAATGCTATTTCCTATTTCCTATTTCCTATTTCCTATTTCCTATTTTCTATTTCCTATTTCCTATTTCCTATTTCCTATTTTCTATTTCCTATTTCCTATTTCCTATTCCGGTGAAGCCAAGTATAAGGATAGAGATAGTCATAAGCCAACAAAAACTGAACATTGATGGTTCAATACAAGTTAGGGGTAGGAATAAATATTAATATTTAAGGTTAGTGCAATCAGCACAACAGCACAAATAAGCCAGCAGGAGTTGTAAAGGTTAGAGTTCAATAAGGGAATGGCAGCTGGTAAATTATAGAGTAGCGGGTGGCAACACACGACGTAGTCGGGTGTTGTCGCCAGGGCTAGCTTAATAAAGAAGGTTGAAATGAGGGAATGAATGATACCGGGCGGCAACACACGACGTAGTCGGGTGTTGTCGCCAGGGCTGGCTTGAAAGATGGGTGCAATCTCGAATATGACCCCCCTTCTTCTATCTGTCTTTCTGCCGAGGTATCGCAGCTCCCGCTGACTTAAATGCTATTTCCTATTTTCTATTTCTATTTCTCTATTTCCTATTTCCTATTTCCTATTTTCTATTTCCTATTTCCTATTTCCTATTCCGGTGAAGCCAAAGTATAAGGATAGAGATAGTCATAAGCCAACGAAACTGAACATTGATGGTTCAATACAAGTTAGGGTAGGAATAATCATTAATATTTAAGGTTATGCAATCAAGCACAACAGCACAAAAAGCCAGCAGGAGTGTAAAGGTTAGAGTTACAATAAAGAATGGCAGCTGGTAAATATAGAGTAGCGGGCGGCAACACACGACGTAGTCGGTGTTGTCGCCAGGGCTAGCTTAATAAAGAAGGTTGCAATGAGGGAATGAATGGGTTGGCTTGAAAGATGGTGCAATCTCGAACATGATCCTCCTTCTTCTATCTGTCTTTCTGCCGAGGTATCCAGCTCCCTGACTTAAGGTGGTAACCCACGGACTTTAAGCCAGCGCGAGACTGTCAATGTTTTCTATTTATTTATTTATTTTAACTAGTGATATCGCGAGGAACTCGATTCTCGATTGCTGCTGCTAAAGGTGTGCTGGAATCGCTGTTGATCCACCTTTCCCACTGTGTGTGTATACAAGAGGTGTTGCCAATAGTAGTGGCAAGGTGTAATCGGTGAGCTTTCGCCGATATTGGATCGGCCTGTTACCCTTCGGTCGCGATGCAGAAGCTGTCGACCGAATGTTCCTTCCCTGCTGGAAGCCCTTTGCACTACGCTAAAGCTAGTGTAAAGATCTTTCGAGTGTTTTGAGTTTGAGAGAATGAAAGTTATGAGAGAGATTAGAAAGCTATGAAAACTAATCAACGAGAGAGACCACATACCAAAGGATCGTAGATCTGAACTCCCGCGGGAGACTGTAGAGTGTGATAGAGTAGGTTGCGGTAGCAATCCTACTCACTCCACGATCCAAAAACGGAACGCGTGGAAGATTCGTCTGGCATTTATTTAGTAGCGTGGAAGTGCTCCACGCTGGCTAAATATCTAGAGCGATGTTTCATCATCAACCTAGTATGACTAGAGCGGTCATTGAGAACCCTGTCTCAATGACTATTCACGAAAGACTCAGTCATGAGTCGAACTCAAACCCTATCTAGGATCGAGTCGCGAATAAGGCTAAGAGCCGTGTATTGCAGTTGCTCTCCATGGATTTCACCAAGAGCAGAGGGTATCTGCTTGGTGGTCCTCCTGGCAAATGGACTGGTGATGGTTGGACCTAGACTGGGCCTAGTATCCGAAGACAATGTCACCTCATTGGGCACAAGTCTTGTGGCACTGGCTGTGCCATAGGTTGGTGGTTCTGTGGGAACCAGGCTGGGAACCTTGGGCGTTACTGTGGGTGATGGACCACTAGGTCTCCTGCCAATGTTGGTTGTGGTGGGACCCTTGTGTGCTCTGTGCCTTGGAGCAGGTTGCTGGGGAGTCACCACTGTGTGGGTCTGCTCGTGTGCTCTTGGAGTGGGAGCCACACTTGGTCTAGTTGGTTGTGCGACTGCAATGTTGTTGTTGCCAGCACTGGAAGTTGGTTGCCTCTTGGTTGGAGGTTTGGCCATGATCTCCCCAGAGGTTGGATGACTACTAGGGCTGGCAAGAGCTGGAGCCGTGGCTACATTGCTGGGCGTCTGGTTGCTAGCCGATAGGGCATTTGTCAATCATTGTTGGATGCAAATAGCATCGTGCTTGGAACAAGTGGCCCTGTGTCGATTCTGCTTCGCGAAGGCAGGTTGCCTTTCAGCGACTACAATGGCTGCTTCCAGTTGAGTTGTCATTTGGTCCTCTAAGGCAAGGAGCTGAGCACTCATGTCTCGTTTGAATGACTCGAGGCCATCTCTCATGAGGTTGAGTTGTCTGGCTATGGCGGTCTGTTGCTGTTGCAGGTAGTGGTTGTTGGTACTGGGAGCGCGTGGTTCGCGGTTGGAATCATAGTGGGCTGACTCCCCAAAAGCCAATGTGAAAGCTGGGTGGACACTGGAGCTGTAGGTAGTCAGCTCTGAAATCTACCCATCACCCAGTGATGCATTGGGAGCACCAGCGAGGGCAGATGGTTGCATTGGAGCAACCAAGGGAGTGGCATTGGGCAGCTGGTGGTGGGCCGCTGTAGGGGGCAAAGGATGGATTCCTGGTGGCTCCCCACAAGCTGGCTTGTAAGCTGGCTGGTGGTTGGACTGCCTGGTCCTGGAGGCAGCTGCTTTCTGCCTGTGTTGCCTGGCCCTGTAGTAGCTACCGATAGCTGCTTGCTGCCGGTGTGGTTCCATGAGCTCTGCCAGCCTTGTCCTGGCGTCGGATGGTGACATGTTTGCTATTGGTTGGAAGCCGCCGATGGCCTCTGCAATTTCGTAGGCTGTTGGGGTAGCAATTGGCTTGGGACCAGGTGATACCGGTGCCTTGTCAAGGATCGCAAAGGGGGATTCGGGCGCTGGATACACCGTTGGCCAAGTGTCCTGACGGTGGTGGGGTGCCTTGTCAAGGATCCCAAAGATGGATTGGTACTCTGGGTTGTTGTCGCCAGCCTGGCACCAGCATTAGTCTGAGTAGTGGCACCAGCACCGGTCAGTGTAGCTAGACATGGTGCCTCTTGTTGCTGCCAAAGCAGTTGTAGCAGTATAATAAAGCTGACTCAACTGTAGTCTGGAAACCACAAAGGAGACTCCTTGGGACCTTGGTATGGGTCTTGGAAATTCAATCTATGTCTGTTGGAATAAGGTGGATTAGGTACAAGGGCTGGAACCTGCTTCCTGAATTGCCGTAGTGCTGGGAAGTGGCTTGGTTTTGGTGATTTTGCCACTGTGGAGCCAGTCAACTTGGGTCCAATGAATCTCCCCACAAAAGCTTCCAGAATCCAAGGCGAGCTATCCACTGACTAAACAAAGGATGGCGGATCCACTGGTAACACTTTAAGCCAAGCAAATGGACCTCTTTGTCGTCTCGTGATACCTCGAGTTACTCTCTTCGTGCGACAGTTGCTCCGTACGGAAGATCGCGATTCGATTCGATTCGTCTCGCGATTTTCAATGACTCGACCAGGTAAATGCCTTAAATTGTGAGCGCAGCGAGCTTACGTGAGGTGAGCCTGCTTTCGGTACGGGGAACTTCGAACGTATAAGCCTCGAAAGATCCAGGATCGAAGAAGAACTCGAAAGCTGGCTCAGTGCACGTCACAATAAGTACCAAACTGTCACGGACGTTTGATTGGCTGAGCGGCTTTCGAAATGACGTTCCAGTATGTTCTTTGAATCGATCAAAACTGCACAGCGATTCTGATTGGCTGAGCTTGTTCTCGTTCAACGTTCCACGGCGGAAACGCGTGACACTCGAAAACTGCACGGATGAATGAGAAGATATACGCCTCGCGACTGCAAATAAATCCAAGTGTGCCCGTGAACTCAATGAAAGCAATAAGCCCAAATCAAGAGAGATATCACCAGCTTGCACGTATTAACCGGTCGTTGCCTCACAAATTCCTGAACACGTAAAGGCTATGGTGTCAGTTGCCAAAGCGGTGCAAACCAATAAGTCTCTTGTTCACGCAGAGACTCCAGGTGTTCGGTACCGGGACAAGTAACAAGTAACAACTGCTTCTTCTTCTTTCGACTTTCGACTTTTGAGTGAATTGGTCTGCTTTTCCTCTCTTCCGTGCAACGGTGTCAATGGTGTCGTCGTTGATGAGGTTGTTTGTGTAGTTCCTTCTAGATGACAATGATGATGGTGTTGGAGTTGTAGACCAGTAGATTGTCAAGCTGAAGGTGCTTGTCACTGTGATGAAGGTTGGACCTGTCAAAATTGACCAGAAGGTTGTTGACTTAGGACTTCAAAATGTAGGCTTTGAAGTGCACTTCAAATTCCAATGAAATCCAATGAATCCAACTGTAACTGTAGTGTAGCACTGATTGTTGTAATGCGGAGAGCTCCTTGTCGACCTGGAGGCTTTCCTTCCCTTAAAATTGCCTGAATTCTATGCGACTGTTAATCCTATAAGTTTCTTGAAGGTTCAGTTCCAATACTCAAGTAGTGGACTGGGTCTCGCTGAAACCCTTCCTCAGGGACAGCGGTAGTCAGGCAGTTCAGGGAGCCTTGTCGTGCCTCA